CAGACTCTGTGTATTTCCCATGGCTTTTTTTTTTTTTTTTTTTTTTTTTTACTCTTTGTTTATTTTTTCATTTTCTGAGACAGGGTTTCTCTGTGAATTTTTGTCTGTCCTGAAATTCACTCTGTACACCAGGCTCACCTTGAAATCACAGAGATATGTTTGTCTCTGCCTACCGAGTGCTGGGGTTAAAAGCATGTGCCACCATTGCCCGGTCTCTCTATTTCTCTTTTAACCAACTAACCTTTTTATTTTCTCTCCCAAACCTATGTTAATCTTTATCTTATTCTAATCACATGAGTCTTATCAGCTTGTTAACAGCAAAGGTTTTGGCCACTTATGCAAATCAGGGAGCTACTCTTAAAGGAGCCGCACGCATCTGCTTGCCTCAGAGAACGCCTGGCAAACAGAGCTCATCTGAGAAAAATGCTGCTACCAAGAAGCCTTGCTTGACTCTGCTCTTTTATTTCTAAAATCTCTTAAGTTTTTGTCAAGTTTTAAGTGGAAGTTCTTCATGCCCACGTTGCAGGTGCCATTGTGTTAACGAGCATTTTCCCATCAGCCTGGTCCCACAGCCACATCAGCCCCAGATAACACACAGATACTTGTATTAATTATGAAACTGTTGGTTGGTTACTAGTGTTTCTTATTGGTTAGCTCTGGCTTAATTATAAGCCACAACTACCAATCTATGTATATGGATAGCCAGGGTTCTAAGTTTTCTCAGGATCCCCTTGGGATTTACAGCGTCCCCAAAAATCAGGAAGCAGTTTGGAGAGAACAACACCCAAATTCCAAAATATTGTTTATAAATGTTTGTTTTCATTTAAATGGTTTGGTTATAAATGGTTAATAATCACCCTCAATCTCTTTCTTAAAGAAAAGTGAGGGAGGGAATATGTTATAGAAATAAATACTTTGCATTGGTATGGATTTTGGTTCATTGATACAAATTTAAGGTCAATTTTGTTATATGTATATTTCTATTCTTGTTTAGACATTATGTTTATACAGCTCATTCAAAAATGTAATGCATGATTAAATACAGATTATAGTCATGTATATTAGACAAAACTTATAATTATGTTAGTTAGGCTTTCTAGATATAGAGATATATTTCAAATGAATAAGTATTCTTCAAAACATTTCAAAGACCTACAGAATGTTGTGTTTAAAATGGTTTATTAGGGCTTTTCATAACAATGAGACAAAACTGCTCCTGGCAACACCAATTACATCAGAGAGAAAGATGGGCATTGAAGAAACTCATTATGGAGTTTGCCTTCAACATGGCAGGAATAGCTATTTGGACAAGAAACTGTTCTTGCTTGGACTGCTTGACAGCACACTGTCCAAACTGGACAAGCAGGTTACAAGGAAAGTGACTGCTGAACTTGCCAAGGGACAGGATGGCCCTTCAAGGTTCTTGCTTCATCAAAAAGTCTGCCAGACATTCTGGGCATATAAACTAAAGAGGGATGCTCCAACATTATAGAGGAACTTTGGGTAACTGTCCAGGCATCAAGACTTCTCTATCAATTCTAGAGTTTATATACTATCCTTCTAGGGTCTTTGATGGAGTTGAGGACATAATTATGGTCATGGTTTTCCTTAGTTATGATAAAAGATAAATTACATATAAAACTTAAGACTCACAAAGACAGAATAGATGATAGAATATTTTTTTAAAATTTTGCCAGATGTTGGTGCTTTGGTGGACTAACTATTGTTAAATATGGTTCTTGCTTGATAACTGTATGTATGTATGTATATATATATATATGTGTGTGTGTGTGTGTGTGTGTACTTTTGATGTTTAAAAAGAGGAGATGATGAGGGATGTCCTGTATGCTGTGGATATATGAATATATATATTTCTCTTATTGGTTGATAAATAAAGCTGTTTCAGCCAATGGACAGGCAGGATGTAGCCAGGCAGGAAGTATAGGAGGGGCTAGCTACCAGACTAGGAGAATCCTGGAGCAGAGAGTGAGTCTTGAGAGAGATACCATGTAGCTGCTGAGGAAGCAAGAGGTCTGGGCATCACTAATAAGCCAAGACCATGTGGAGATACACAGATTAATAGAAATGGGTTAATAATTAAGAGAAAGCTGGTCAACAAGAAGCCTAAGCCATTGGCTAAACAGTTTATAATTAATACAAACCTCTGTGGGACTAAGCAGCAGCAGGACTGGGTGGCACAGAAACTCTGTCCTTTGCTCATTGCATATCCATATGGGGCACCACTTGGCCAATTTGAGAGTAAATCCTTCAGCAAATTGCCCCATGCTAAAATCAGTCCTTCTGGTTGAGCTGAGTTCACAGGGTCCCACCAGGGCCCCAGATGCACACAGCATCCCTTTCACTGTGCCTTGAGCAGTGGAACGCCAGAGTGATGAATGATGCCCTATTGGCTTGGCTAATCACCAGCATCAGAGCCTCCACAGTACCTGAACTCAGATCCTCATTCTTGGTGACAAGATCCATCTTCCCGGTCTCACTTATGTTAACTTTATTTCTACTTGGTGAGTCTCCCTTACTTTACTTTTCAAAATAATACTGCTGCCAGTTGGTAATCACTTTTATCTAGAGGTTTTACTCTCATTTCACGCCTCATCTACTTGACTCCTGGAAAACTGATGAGAAGATAATAGCTCTGAAATATCACCTGTATCCAAGGCACTGTTTCAGGTCAATTAATAGTCCCCCCTTTTAAGATTTATTTATTTTTATTTCCTATGCATGAGTCTTTTGCCTGCATGAAAGCATGTGCATGACATGTATATACCTGGTAACTGCAAAGGCCAAGATAGAGCATTGGAATCTACAGGAACTGGAGTTACAGATGGTTGTGAGACACCATGTGGGTGCTGGTACTTGAACTCAGGTACTATGAAAGTGTAGCCATTGCTCTTTACTGCTGAGCCATCTCTCCAGGGAGCCTCAGTTCTTGCTGAGGCTTCTATCAGAATTGTGTCTAGGGCTTAGGGTTTCTCACACAATGGCTCAGGTCTCCTGTTTTATACAGATAGAGCAGGGCAGGGTACATTGCGGGGTGAGGGTGCTTTGCAACTCTGAGTCTTTAACTGATTGTTTGGACAAACAATCCATCTCAGTGTGGTTTTTTTTTTCCAATATCAGAATGTTTATTCTTTTCCATTTAATATATTTTATAAATTTCGTTACATTTTAACTTTTGAAAGACACAATGTTAAGTCTAATTTCATGGACGATCACTATGAACATTATAAAGGTAATAGAGTTTGTTAGTCTTCTGGGTTTTATTCTGGGTTAAAATACTAAGTTCCCTAGGAATGTTTCCATAAATGAATAAATAGATGGAGAATTTACACACACACACTCGTCTCTTCCCTTTCCCCTGGCTGTAGCTAAGATTCTGCTTTAAATAACGAACTTAAAGCTGATCCACTTCTGATGTCAGCTTTCCCCCCAGATAAAGTGGAAATAGGTATACGTCTTAAAAAATTTTAAATTATCAAAAATTGTGTGCATTGGGCAGACAACTACAAAGTAGTGTTAACCATAGGAATGAATAATAGATGACCTGACCTCTGTCCCCTACGGACTTCTTGCTTGCCAGGTAAGTCTGGGGTTTTGAGCTCTCTGCAAGGAAATAGAGACAACCTGTCCACCAGCAAACTCAGATCAAACCCTTGGCTCCAAGTTCTCCCAAACTGGTCACTGATTGATCTGACATGCTTGACTTTGTTTACACAGAAGGGAGAAAGGCTTTAGCTTTTAGCTTTACACTCTGTCCCTTTGCTATGACTCAGTTATCTTTAGCATAATCTGACCGTTGGACTTTAATGAAAATGTAGTAGGAGCAAACTTGCCCATGACTGAGAAATCGTCTAGTTCAGCTTTATATTTCAGTTACTACAAGCCTGATGGATGACCTCATCCATTAAAACCTTATTTTTCTAAAGCCAGGATACTCATATGCATTTCTCATAGATTAACATTCAAACTGTCAATTTTCTAGATTTTTCTGTGAGTGAGTAGGTAGGCTCAAGAATATAGTGGTGTAAGGAGGAACCAGGGCTCATTCCTGCCAACACCATTTTTGCAGACACCAGCTCTTGTTGGGGAGAGGCAGTCTAGCCTAGACACAGACTAAGTGTAGGGGCTTTTCAAGGGACTGTTTGCGAGGCATGTTGAAAAGACTCCAGCCTCCTCTGTTCTCCTTCACCAAGGCAACATAATTAGCCTTTTTGCATTTGCAGAGGAAGAAGAAAAATGAAAACAAATCAAAAGGCACAGGTTCAGAGACAGCTGTTTTGGTGACAGATGAGTCCATTGTTCCCATACCACCTTCCATTGTTCCTGTGTCGGCTGTCTTCCACATGCACTTTTCACCTTTTTCTGCCCAGAGACAGCGATGCTTAATTTAAATTCAGGGGTTTCTAAGCATGGACTCGGGACTTGCATTAAGCCATACAAGGTGACATGAAAACTACTTTTTCAGTTCCTACCCCATTCTCAGGTGGTGGTGCTCAGTAATTTGTTCTCACAAAGCCTCCTAGTGACTCAATTCTTGTTGGACCTAGAGAGATGGCGTGTGCCACCACCATCCGGCTTCGACTCAGTTCTGGTTAGCTTTGCAGAATCACGGTACTACTTACTTAAACGCCATTGTGACCAATCCTTGGATTTGGTCAGTAGAGAGCATGAGCAGAAAATCTAAGGGAGGAGTTAAAGAGAAGGCTTAGCATTTAGTAGCACTTGTTCTTCTAGCCCGAGTCCATTCCCAGCATCCACATGGTATCTATTGCTCCAGTTCCAGCGGATCTGATGCCTTTTCCAACCTCCAAGAATATCAGACATGCACATGGTACATATGCATACCTGTAGACAAAATACATACATAAATACATCTTTTAAAAATTTGAAAAGGAAAGGAGAGGACATAGTGTGGGTATTATTTTCCCATTTCTGTTCCCATGAGGCCACTATGATCACTGTATTCTTTTTTCTTTTTTTTTTTTAATATGGAATGCCTCACGAATTTGTGTCATCCTTGCGTAGGGGCCACGCTAATCTCCTCTGGATCGTTCCAGCTTTAGTATGTGTGCTGCTGAAGAGAGCACTGGCTGTATTCTTTTAACGACTTCTCGGTCAGGGTGCTTTCTGTACATTGCTGATCTTTGCAGGTGACAGTAACCTGCAGTTTTAAAAAGCTATTGCTATTGCTAGCCTCATAGAGGAGCCTGCAATATCCTTTGTTAGTGTCTTTAAATATGTCTATGCTTTTGCAAATAGTGACTTTGTTAAAATCTCTTTAATTAATTTATTTGAAGAATATATTTGAGTTATGTCTGATATAGTTCAGAGTTCTTTTTTCTTTTTCCTTCCTTCCTTCCTCCCTCCCTCCCTTCCTTCCTTCCTTCCTTCCTTCCTTCCTTCCTTCCTTCCTTTCTTTTTTTCTTTTTGAGACAGGATCTCTCTAGTTTAGTCCTGGAACTCAACTCTGTAGACCAGGTTCTCCTTGCACTCACTGAGATCTTTCTGCCTCTGCTCCCTGAAATTAGAGGTGTGTACCACCATGTCTGGCCCCATAGCTCCACTTTTTAACTTTAATTTTATGTATTCCTTGACAAGATACACACACACATATCTCTTTCTGTATAACACACACACACACACACACACACACACACACACACACACACACACAGACAAGGTAGGAGAGGGAGAAAAAGAGAGAGATTTTGGGCATGTCTACCCCAACTCTTTTCTCTCGTTTACCCTAGTTGCCAGCACATGGCTCTCCTAACTTCGTGTCCTGTTCTTTTTTGTGTGTGTTGTTTGTATAACCTGTGAAGTTATACACATAAGTGTGGGCACACTCCTTCTTTCCCTGCAGCCATCAGTTGCCAATAGCCCCTCCGTTAGGGGTGGAACCTCACACACCCCGCTCCTGTCCGTGCTGGAATAACTGACTGACTTGATCTTGCAAAAGTATCTGTAGCTGATGCAAGTTCAAAGTGCAGCCCCTGTGTTGTGTTGAGAGGCAGCCTTTCACGGCACTCCTGCCTATCACCTGGCTCTTAGATGCTTTCTGCCGTCTTCTACCATGTCCCCTGGGCTGTGTGGAGGTTGGTATAGGTACCTCACTTAAGGCTGAACACTCAGCTGTAGCTTATTCTCAGCACTTTGGCCAGTTGTTTGTATCTGCAATGTCTGACGTCCACCACCGCAAAATAATGCAAGAGACAAATGCTTGATACAATGTTGAGAATAGAGCTAATCTGTGTGTGTAAACAAATGTTTAAAAGTCAGCTTGACAACATTGTTCAGTAAGGTGACAGTAGTAGGCTCCCCTGGTCCCAGGGGTTTCCAGTACCAGACGTGAATTCTCTGCCATGGAGCAGGACTCAAGTACAGGCAGACAGCAATTGGTTGCATCTGTAGCTGTCATGACACACAGTGACTCTGTTTTTTAAACATCTTCTCTTCCCTTATTCATGAAATAGAACTGTTAGGAAGACAAAGTGAGTTCATACTCTCATAACAGTCTTGGGTCATATCTGTGGCCTACCAAAATTGTAGGGATTGCTGATAACCAGATGGAGGGTTACCATATCTATAAAGGAATTCCGTCGTTTGAAGATCACTAATTGTTAAACATCCGAACCTGCTTTAAATCATCTGACCCTGAGGACCCAAGTTAAATGATTAAGTGATGACTGTTTTCTGATTAGTGAACTGTATAGGAAGGTTTGCAGCTCCTTAGCAGTCTATGTTGTTCTTCTTCTTTAATGGACGGTGAGGAAATTAGCAACACTGTGGATGTCTCCTCATTGATAATGAGAGAGAAAGGGATATGAATGGGCAGAAGCTTTGAGTGGGGCTCCCTAGTCACCCCAGTTTATTTTGTCAGGGCCAGCTCCATGGGAGAATAATCTGTACCATTCCACAAGTTCCTGAATTCAAAAAGGGTTAGGCTTCCTTAGCGATCCAATCTGGAAGTTTTGACAAAAGGTCGACCTTATATTTGTTTTCATTTCCACTGGACTCTGTAAATTATGTGGATGGCTCCTGCTTTGCCAAGTTTATTTTTGTCTAACAACCGAGAAGTACAATCAGTGTTTTAAAACATCAGGAGTTTGAGGCTATGGCTGTTTAGAGATTTAGAGTCATTCTATTGACACTGGTCTACAGATGAACGGCTCTAAATGCATTTCTTACATTTCAAGCATGTGATTCTCAGAGACTGGGGAATCGCTTCACCCAGATCACTATTTCTTTCTTTCTTTTTTTTTTTTTTTTAAATTTTATTTTATATAACCAAGTCCATTTAAATGAAAACAAACATAGGCAATCTTTGGGAATTTGGGCATCGTTCTTTCCAAACTACTTCAAGCCAGACCGCCTGAAACAGAGTACCAGGTGATCCTACATTCAAAACAGCTGGACAAAGCAGTCTTACAGACTACAGCCAGGATTTCTGCATCTTCTTAGAATCCCCCATGACAGCACCCCTTGCTAGTAGATCACTATTTCTAATCATGTGGCAGCTAAGGAAGCAAAGGAGGTCCACTATAGTTTTTATTGAGAACACAGGCTGATTTTACCTACTAGCAGGAATGGCTATTCTAGCTGAGCAGACAGCCAAACATGATAGGCAACACATATAAAAGGCAAAGCTCTGTTTTTCTTTTCTTAATTTATTATTTAATTTAGAAACAATCTTATTTTACATATCAATCCCAGTTCCCTCTCCCATCTTCCTACTTCCTTAAAAATAAAATAACTTGCCACAGATTTTGTGTGTTGTTCAGCAACAGGTAAATATTACTTACGCAATAACAAGTCAGAGACTATTTTCTCCCTCAGTTTTCCTAAAACTGTTGCTAGACTTGGAAATGCCTTGTTATTTGAGGAGAGATTTTACACAGAGTTGGGACTTGGCTATGAAAAGGGAGTAGTTTCTAGTTATCTCCTGAAGGAGTAATGATTCAGAATGTCACTATTTCCATGTTGGGCATCCATTGCACTCACCTGAGGAAAGGTCATATGAAGTAAATCAGAACATTTTCCTTACAAAGTGAAAACACGGACTACTTAATTATGGTTGGCACTTTGAGCTCTGTCCACTGTCTTTACCCTGACCAGTCTTTGTGGGACACAACATAGTCTACAATAGAATCCTTGGTCTGTTCACACAATATGGGACCCTGGCATGGCAAATCAAGGAAGCTCACTACTCAGCCCAGCTGTGGGTTAAGGGAATTTCAGGACTTGTAGGGTCATATCTTGGAGACTGCTGTGTCTGGGTAATTGGGAGGCCTCTCAGACTAAGGGTTGGGTAAATCATGCTGCAGACATTGGCTTTCAAATACTTTCCTATTGCTAACTGCTCTCTCTGTGCCTCTTGATTTGCTCAGACTTATCATTCATTTTTTTTCATTGGGCAAACCAACAGCAAGCCTTTGATAGATCATTCCTTCATCACAAATCACCAAAGTGGACCTCTTAAGGGTACACAGACTAATGAGGTAGGCTTAGAGCATCTCTTAAGTAGAAGGGGTTCTATCATTCACTAGAATAAAAGGGAGCTACTAATACACCTTACCAGAAATTCTTATTATTTTATGATTGAATTGGATCCAGATACCGTGTTGTACAGCCACACTCAAGACACTAAACAAAGCACCTCATGAAGTCTCCCGAGAGAAGCCAAGGTAAGAGGCAGCCTAAAGGACCTCGGACAGTGGAGCCAGGATGCATCCCTGGTGCACAAAAGGACTTTGGGAGCACATTTCCCATGGAGGTATACTCCCTTAGCCTAGAGGCAGGGGGAGGGCCTAGTCCCTACTCCAAATTACAGATTTAGATGACTCCTCCTGGAAGTCCTTATCCTCCCTGTGGAGTGTGGAGGAGGGATGGGATGGGGGGGTTGGGATCATGGGAGGGAGGGAGGGAAGGAGAGGGAACTGGGATCGATATGTAAATAAGAGAGAGGGAAAAAGAAGCCAAGGTAGAACACACCCAACCTCTTGACTCCACTATTCCCTCTTTAAAAACCCTGGGAATTACATATATTGGATTCTGATGATAAAGTTAATTCTCCTTGGGACAATGGTTACTTTTTTTTTTTTTTTTTAAAGCATCTATTATTTATTTTGTGTGTTTGTGTGAAAATGTTTACTGCATGTGTATGTCAAGGTCAGAAGACAATCTGAGAGTTGATTTCTCACCTTCCATTGTGTCCTGGGGATGGAGCCCAGGTTGTCAAATGTGGCGATAAGAGGGTTGACCCACTATGCCATCTCACCTGTCCCAGGGACATAACATTGGATGGACATTTCCAGTAGCTCTGATGTGTACAGCTTGAATCCTCAGTTCTTAAAAACACAAGTAAATCTATAGTTCAAATAATTTGTTGTAATAAGCACTTATAACTTTTATTTAGTGATTTAGCTCTGCCACGTACAACTCAATACCATTGCGTCATTGATCAAATTTCTAACACATGAATTCTGGGGAACATAATCAAACCTTAACACATACACAGAGACCAGAAGAAAGAATGGTAAGTAATGTGACCAAAGGAATAATATCCCAAAGAAGCGAAAAGCAGGGAAAAGATTACACGGACCATGTTCTCCAAAGAGAAACAAAGTATAGCAAGTTGTTAATGGAGATGCAGGGATAAAGTCACATTAGCTAAAAGTCCTAAGAAGCCTCTTCTAGACCTGAACATATAAATAAGGTTAAAAGTTGCTGGGTAGTGGTAGCGCATGCTTTTAATTCTAGCACTTGGGAGGCAAAGTCAGGTAGATCTCTGAATTTGAGGCCAGCCTGGTCTACATAAGGAGACCCTGCCTTAGAATAAAAAGAAAAATGAAATTGGAAATACTAGAGAAAGCATTTTGAGATATTAGAATGAAGATCCCAGTAATTTGGGAAATAAGAACACAAGTTGGTAGTTTGTGTTATAGCCAACTGGACAGGTCCTGCACAGAAGAAAACAGTCAACAGAATGCAGTGACAAGCCCAGAGAAGGGGGAAGACTCTGCTGACCAATCAGAAGGCAGATGCATATACTTTGCAGGAAATAGATGAACTGGACATGTCATGTTAA